TCGGCTCCTCTCGGAGCGCCGACTTAAATACCCCGGCGCGGCGGGTTCGTTGGAAGGGAGGCCGGCGGTCGGGCGAGCCGCGTGGGGATGCTGACGCGCGCTCGCCTTCGGCGCGGATCGGCTCCTTCCGGCGGTGCCGAACTAATTAAGAATTTTGCGTGAGAAGCAGAAGAAAAGTATATCGCAGTACATAAAACGGTTAGATATAATTTTTACATTACTATAAAACAACCTAGCTTCCGAAGCGCGGAGTTAGCTCGCGGCTGGTCAGGGTTCGGAGTAGGCGCGGAGGAAGACACAAGACTCGGTTAAAATATAATACAACAAAATAAAGTATTTATTCAATTACGCGTGAATACATGGAGACGCTCGCGGGAGCGGTGCATATGTACAAAAGATCGCGGTCGCTGCTACGATAGCGACAGATTACAGTGATCGCGGAGTCGATGGCTACGTGTGATAGATCGCGGGCGCGGTTTATAATAGCGGTGTAATGCAGATAGCGCGGAGTCGTTAAATACGTATACTAGGTCGCGGACGCGGTTAATATAGATATCACGAAGCGTGCGGACGCCTGGTGAAGCGATGATTTACGGAGATCGCGGAGTTTCGCGGATCGGCGGGCGTGCGGGCTCGCAGAGGTATTTCGGCGCGGTAGCGCAGATTTGGATACCGTCGGTAGTGAGCGCATAGGGCGCTGGATCGCTATTGGACGTGATATCGAGCGGCTAAGACCCTTAGCGGAGATAGAGAAGTACTCTCTATTTCCTGGCGCATCGATTCGTGTAGGCGGGAGGCGGCACCGGGTGGCCAAGACCCTTGGCGAGTAAGAGAAGAACTCTCTTACCCTGGTTCACTCCGGTGTCACAGGTGTTCGAAATATGTATAATGGAAAGTCGAGTCAACCGCCTAGATTCTTCACTCGGCAGAGGCAGAGAATACTCTCTACCTCCTGGTTGTTTCGACTGGAGGATTTCGGGATCCGTGAGCAGCGGAGAATCGGTCGGATCGGTTTGCTGGCTCACGGCGGAATCTGAAAACCTAGCAATATTGCTCGGTTTATATACGCCCGCGGTGGCGTGTCGGCGTAGCGGGGGTGTACGTGGCGGCAATCGCGCGCGCCGGGATGGAGCGGTGGAGCGTTCGGGAAGTACGGCGCTCCGACGCCGCGATTGCGTTCGGTGGCTCTCGGCCGTTTTCGGCACCGCTCGGCGTTCCGAGTCGGTTGCCGCGCTAAGTCCGTTTGCGGACTGATACGCGAAATGGATAGTTTAAAAAAGGGCACACCGTGCCTTGTCTCGCCCGGCGGGTGTTCGGCCGGGCGGCATCCGGCTGATGCTCGCCGGGAATGATGCGTTTCGGGGCGCATCGTTACAACTAAATTGGGGGAATCCCCAACAACTATTATATTTATAGCTATAAATCACAGATTTTTGTATAACACATTTTGTAATGCAAATAAAAGAGAATTATATTTAATATTTAATATTTATTTAAAATTATATTTATAGGTGTACAACAGATTTCGTAATGCAAATAAAAAATGCTCCTCTTCAGTTGTTTATGAAATTATATTTATTTAATATTAAACATTACATCTATATAGTTATTCAATATTTATTTATATTACTTGTTTATTGTATTTATTTTTTATCATTTTTGTTTATCTATTTGCTATTGGGGGGGAGGGGGTGGGCCAGCCTTCGTCGTAGTCGTCGACGTTTATCAGGTCAGCGTCGACGTCTATCAGGTTGACATTGACATCCCCGTCCTCACCGTTGCCGTCCTCACCGTTGCCGTCTTCGTCGTCGCCATCGTCGTCGCAATATGTATCGCGACGCTGCTCCGTCGATGTATCGAGTCGCGCAGCATCCCGACACATGCTGCGAATCCGAGCGGCGTATAAACGCATGTGGTTCTTTGATTTTTTGAGCACCGATAGGATAAGTTCTTTTGCGCAAAAAAATACATATCATTAATAACGGAATATATAAATGAATATATACATGTTTATATAAATAAATGTATAAATAATATAAAGATGATAAATGAATATAGGTATAATGTTTATATAAATAAATATATAAATAATTATATGTAAATACTGTTATTTTTTATTTTTTGATATAACAATATAAATTTGTGTTTGTCAAAACTTACATTTGATTGAACATCCATGCGTCCTCGTCAACGCGAATCGTTACTTTCAGACAGGGCGGCGCTCTATCGATGATATTCCTGAGGCGATGCTGCAGCTGCAGCATCGCCTTGCGTAAGTCGTCCGTAGCCCTAGCTACGGACAAAACCTGAACTTGCACCACATTGGCAATTTTCTCCAAGTTGGCAATTTTCTTGATAGCGTTTTTTTATACAAAAATTCCGGTCACTAGCTCGAAACACTACTTGTGGTTGGACTACGCACAAGTCTAGCCTCGAGTCCTTATTATATCGAGGATGTGCAATCAAATAAGAAAGTGTGATCGAAGAAGGGATGTGCAATCAAAGGAGGATATTGCGCGATGAGAATTATTTATAATATTTATATATATAAAATAGCGTTTTCCATAGAGAGAGAGAAATTGTGTTTTTTTTTTTATCAAACCGACCAAAGTCCACCGGAATTGCCGACGCATTTTTCCACCCCGAGACCTCCGCCGCCACCTGTCCGCGCTATCGCTAACGAGCATCCCACGTAGACCGCGCGTCGCGATCGCGTTCATATCGCGACGCGCCGTCATCGCTAATAAAAGAAGCAGGATATTGTGTAATAAAAACTATTTAAAAAAAATTATCTTTTGCACAGAGAGGAAGGAATGCATTTTTTATCAAACGGACTCACCCGCCGGAATTGACGCATTTCTTCCGCCCCGAGACCCCGCCGCCACCTGTCCGCGGTATCGACAACGAGCGTCACCGCGTAGACCGCGCGTGGCAATCGCGCTCATATCGCGAGACGCCGTTATCGCAGTTTCACCGTTTCTCTCGCTCTCTCTCTCGTTCTCGACGATGTGGCTCGCGCGCGTAATCGCGTTAACCGCGTGTTTTATTACCGCGAGGTGCATCACTCCCACGGATGAGAATTACGCACATACGATCGATTACCTGCAGAAATACGGATATCTGACCGAAGATGTGGACGCGTTTCAGTTCAGCGACGAAACGACGTTCTTTGCAACGCCATCGGTGAATTTCAACAATACTACGGTTTGCCCGGCGATGGAACGCTCGACAACCAAACGCTGCAATTGATGCGTAAACCGCGATGTGGTTTCCAAGATATCCTAAAACACGGAACGAGAGCGAGTCTATCCAAATGGCCGAGGACTCACCTGAGGTGGAAGTTTTACGTAGGCACCCAGGACGATTTGAATACCGCGCAGGCCGCGTTCGACCTGTGGTCGCAGCATTCGGCATTGACGTTCGAACGCTCCGAAACGAATCCCGACACTATGATATCTTGGCGAACTTTACGTCACGGTAACACGAATATCGACGTAAACGGCCCAAATTGCTCGGCCAAATTCGACGGTCCCGGTAACGTGCTCGCCCACGCGTATTTCCCGACGGACGAAGCGGGGTTCGTTTCCGAGATACACGTCGATGGGGACGAGTCGTGGCATATTCACGTCGGTAAACATCCCGCGGATAAGTTCTCCCTGCATTACACGCTGACGCATGAGATCGGCCACTCTCTCGGATTGCCGCACAATAAGCGCAGAACATCGGTGATGTTCGCGTTCACGCCCGACAAGCAGTATCCGGTTAAGCTCGACAAATCTGACATTCTCGACATTCATCGTTTGTACGGTGAAAAAATTATGAACGAGCCCCCGCAGACGCCGGCGCTACCGCCGCCGCCGCCACCGCCGCCAATGCTGGACCTGTGCACCGTTGATCGCGTGAACGAGATATTAATTTTGGAAAATCGTATGTACATCTCGTACAGGCGTTACGTTTGGTCGATCGATCTCGACGGTAGGACGTACAATGGACCTCTAGCCTTTTCGAATTACATGAGCTTTTTTCACGACAATTACACGCGCGTGACCGCCGCCCGTCCGGTGATCTCATGGTGTTCGTAGATAATTTGGTATACATGGTTCAATATCCGGAATTTACGCTTCGACCAAGTTGGCCGAGGACCTTGCAAGAACTCAGATTTCTCGAACAAATGATAATCAACGGAGCGGTAAACATCCACAGAGGACGTTCCTTCGTGGTGTTCAACGGTAACTCGGTGGGCGAGATAAACAAATGCAACAAGAAAGTTGGCACACTTACGGCTCTCGAGGCGACGTTTCCCGGAATACCGACCGGCGTAACGTCGATTTTCCGATACGCCGTCGGCAATCTGTACTTCACCACTCGGACGCAGTTCTACAGATTCAACGAATTTACGAAAACCGTCACGGCTGCCGGTAAATTCGATCTACGGCTGTTGAATATCGTTTGTCCTAAGACCGAACTGTTGCAACAGTTG